CCGGGCGGCTTGTCGCGTGTCGGACAAAACGGTAGGTCGGTGTGCGTATCATGAAGATGTTGCGGGTACTCGAGATCGACTTCGAGGATATACCCCGTGGGCGAATCTAACGCTATAGATGATATGTCAAAATTCGACGCGTCGTCGACCCATCGAAAATCGGCGTAAGGCAACGGTTGACACATTGCCCATCCGTATAAATTATTAACGTCAAAACACATCAAGTACGACGATGGTTTCGATGGATCGTACGATTGTCGCATGTACTTGTTATTAGCGCGCGCGTATCTGTTGGAACATTGGCTCAGACCACCGCGTATACCGCGTTCTATAAACATAACCATGTCAATATCTGTAAGCAACTTAAACGTGATCTTTGTATGCTTTAACATGGCGTCCCACGTGTATCCGGGCAGAGTATAGTAATACGCGGGGTCGAGTCCGTAACTTTTTATGCAGCTATCGCGAAAATTTTCGAAAATATCGGCTAATAACAAGACGTCGATTTTGAGATACATGTCGCTGTATTCGCCCAGCGTTCGAATGGAGAATCGCGTCCAGATGTTCTCGGCGTGCGCGTAATCGCTCTCGGATATAGTTTCACCGGTCAAGGAACTATAAAACGATTCGCGCGGTGGTAAACGCGTATCTCGCAACCTATCTACCGAGTCGATGTATTCGTACAGAAAGACGCCTTTTCGCGTTAATAAACTGAAATTTTCCGCGGATAAATTTTGAAATTGAGATTTTAAAATTTTGATCTTGTCTTTGTCTAGATAAGATGCCAATTTGTCGAGACTCGATGTAAGAAATTTGTACGAATCGATGAAGCGTAATTTTACATTATTTTTCCAATCGCCTTCCTTAAGGTTGACATTTTTTGTAAAAGAAATATATTTCTCTTTCGTTATCGGAAGTAACTCGACTCTCCCTTCGAATGTTGTGGCTATTTCCTCGATAATAAAATGCGAATCGTAACCGGATAAATTGTGGAAAACTATCGGAATACAAAAAGATTCTTTGTAATTTAAATTACAATTTGAATGCGCGGGGTCAAATGACAATGATCGCGAACGCGTGTATCGTCTTCCGCGAACGGTTTTTCGCATATATGGCATTGAGTGGCGTTGTGAAATTTTTCACACTCTTCGGACGTTAAATTAACCATGGGGACATTGGTCGTTAAAATATTCTTAACGCGAATCGCTAAATTTTTAAGATCTTCGACGAACCACGCTATACAATCGACGCTACGACGCGAATGATACGCCGATAAAGATTCATCGTACGAACAATGCATATAATACGCTATACTAAATACCCGATGATGCTGGTACAATTTTTGTTGTTGTTGTTCTTCCTCCGTTTTGATCAGAACGCATTCCAGGTCGGCGTACACGACGAATGGAAGCCGCTCTTTCCTGTTGTAATTGTTGAACTCGAGCCACTTGTCCTTGTCGCTCGGCAACCGGATAGCGCAGTCATTCATCTCCCCGCAGTCGACCGTATGCGACTGCAACTTGTCATCTGAACTAAAATAATGCATGCATCTGTAAAAGAAAAATTTTTTAATTTTGCACAATTTGTTATATAAATTATAATTATTTTATATTAATATATACATACCGATCGCAGATATATCTTTGACCGTTGTGTTTGCTCAGTTGCGAGCTCACGAGCCTGGATAAATTTTTTATCCACGCGAAATGTCCTACGTTGTTGCCGTCTTCCACGTAGTGGAACAATGTTCTCGCTTTCGATGCCGTACACGTTGATCGAGATACTGTTTGCAAGTTCAAATTTTTTAATTTGATTTAAAGTTACTGGAAACTCAATGTCCCGGAGATTCAGCACTGTCGCGTAAGGTGGATACGATGATTCTCGTTCCACCTTTCTTTCTGCGGGATATAGAGCGGCGACCACTGCCCACGCGAAACACGCATTGTCTTTAGACTGTACATTAACCACCGCTCTTTTCATCATAATCTCCCGCGACAATTTAATGTGGCATCCCGCGCGCATTGGATTATATTTATTTACATTAACAGTCAAATTCTGTATTCGCGACAATGCCCAGCCGCTATCGCGTTCCTGAAACTCTTCCAGAGACGCTAAAGTGGGCTCGATAACGCGGCGCTCGAACCACTCGCGTAAATCCGATGTGCGAAAGAGTTCACAGTTTCTCGTATTCACACTTTTATTCTCACGCTTATCACCCGACACAAATTCACCATTAAACACAGTGTTCACTTTTACACTGTTGTATCTTTTTAGAACGTCTTGCACTTGCTCGAGCACGATGTCTTCGGCATCCTCGAGAAATTGACGAGGTTCGATATAGTTTGCATTAATCACGGCACCGGTCAGAATACGGCTGTCGAACGCGGTATCGATCTCTCGCCAAACGAGTCTTTCAGCGTTATTACCACCGCTGTAATCACCACCACTGGGAATAAACCGTCTCTGCAATCGAGTCTTTGCACCTTCTAATCGCGCGATTTTAGCCACCAGAGATTGCCTGTTTCCGATCGAGAGCCGCGGACGCTTGACACGACTGCGTTCTTCGAGCTCTTGGACCAATTCCTCGCAACGCTGCAGCCACGCGAAATACTCGCTCAAGGTGGCAATTTGGCGAGATCCCTCCATCAAATCGCGTTCGGTCTGCTCGACGTTTTTCATTTTCCTGTCTTTTTCACACTTTTAAAGCACTACGTCACAGTTTTCTACGGATGACTTTTGCACACGATAAACAATACCGTTCTCTATCTTGAACGTGAAATCGCGCAAAAATCTTTCTAACGGAACACCGCTATACTTTTTTACAACCGACGTGTCGATGGGCGTTCAAATCACATACTATGATGATTTGATGCACTTCAATCCTTCTTATATATGAAGGAGGAAACGAAGGTGCAAAGCTGCCGAACATCGGCGCTCATACGCGTCGCAATATCGTCTCTTCCGAGAAAAAATTACGGAGGACGATTCTGGGAGGTGCCATTTGTTTATATTGTTTATAAATTCGCATGATATATAATTCAATGAGAGAGAGATAAGGATACGTCGAACGGAAAAAAATCTAGAATTACTTATATCGGGGGTAAGGGGTGTACCACGAAAGCAAGGGTGCAAAGCAGCCGAACATCGGCGCTCATACGCGTCGCAATATCGTCTCTTCCGAGAAAAAATTACGGAGGACGATTCTGGGAGGTGCCATTTGTTTATATTGTTTATAAATTCGCATGATGTATAATTCAATGAGAGAGAGATAAGGATACGTCGAACGGAAAAAAATCTAAAATTACTTATATCGGGGGTAAGGGGTGTACCACGAAAGCAAGGGTGCAAAGCAGCCGAACATCGGCGTTCATACGCGTTGCATTCCTTCCGAGAAAAAATTACGGAGGACGATTCTGGGAGGTGTCATTTGTTTATATTGTTTATAAATTCTCATGCTGCGTAATTCAATGAGAGAGATAAGCATACGTCGAACGGGGAAAGAATCTACAATTACTTATATCGGGGGTGAGGGGTGTACCACGAAAGCAAGGGTGCAAAGCAGCCGAACATCGGCGCTCATACGCGTTGCATTCCTTCCGAGAAAAAATTACGGAGGACGATTCTGGGAGGTGTTATTTGTTTATATTGTTTATAAATTCTCATGCTGCGTAATTCAATGAGAGAGATAAGCATACGTCGAACGGTGAAAAAATCTACAATTACTTATATCGGGGGTGAGGGATGTACCACGAAAGCAAGGGTGCAAAGCAGCCGAACATCGACGCTCATACGCGTTGCATTCCTTCCGAGAAAAAATTACGGAGGACGATTCAGGGAGGTACCATTTGTTTATATTGTTTATAAATGTGCATGCTGCGTAATTCAATGAGAGAGAGACAAGGATACGTCGAACGGAAAAAAATCTAGAGTTACTTATATCGGGGGTGAGGGAGTGGGGGTGGGGGTGGATACCTATATTGGGGGCGAGGGGGGTGGGGTGGGGGTGGGGTGTACCGCCCCAAGTAGCAAAGTGACGTCAGAAGACGACATAATGACGTCTATTTTTGGTCTATGACGTCAGCGATTAACGATGGATGTTTAAAAGACGTCATTTTTAAACCATTTAAAGACGTCATTTTAAAGACGTTCTAAAGACGTCTATATAAAGTCTTATAACAACTGTTCTAAAGACATCTATATAACTGTTTTCATTTTTCTCCTGAATAACAAAAGTAGTTATTTTGATATCAAATCGCATCAAAATAACTACTTTTGTTATCTAGGTTAATATTATATATAATTATAAATTAATAATGAAATAAAAATTACAAAATTAATTTTAATATATTTTTCACAGAATTTTATGATTAAAGCAACAAAAATTAGTGCTAACAATGTATGTAAATACACGTTATGTACATTAGAGATTTTTATTAGTAGCAATAAATTTCGAAACGCAATCATATTATAACAGTAAATGCAATACAATACATATACATAATATAACATATTCGCGCATGCGTGTAAAAGTGCTGCGCAGGTTTATTCTGGACCGCAGTCCTATATGTGATTGTGGTGTGAACACGTTATTGCATGTACGTGCATCGTAATTTTTACTCGGCAGTTAATTTACAAGTAAGTAATTTATGTTATTTTTTATTGTAAAGATGCATATGTATAAATATTACTCAAGCTAGTTTGATATTTTGTTGTGTCTTAACCTATATTTATTTATTTTATCTTCTTAAAAACTGAGAAAAATTAGATTAGGTTACATTAAAGATAACAATAATGTAATTATATCTGCATGCATTTTTTAAGTTTTTTTTATAAAAAAAATTATTCTTGTAGGATTACATGATACTTTTTATGCTAATCAATACGAACAGTTTGACATCACTATGTCTTATGTATTAATTGAATTTGATGATGGAGGTGGTGTTGCAGTGGTAAGAAAGACTTGGATAACTCCTCGAAAAAGAGAAGTTTTTTGGCCACCTATGAAAGATCAAAAAACATTTAATAAAGTATTAGAAAATACATTATATCCAGATACTGAAAAGTGGAAACTTTATTCAATAGTGAGATGTTTATATGAAACTGGTAAGCATAAAATATTTTACTAATTATTTATAGAAATAAAAAAATATTGTGATAAAGTTTTATATAAGTTAATTTACTTATGTAAACTAAGAGCCATTCCAGAATACATTGCAAATGTCGAATTAGCTTGACGCTAATTGGATCACAATGCTTTGGCAACTGGCAATGAGACATGTACAATGAATTCTCGAATGGCCCTAACTTGATTAATGTATTATGTTATTTTATATAATCTCTTTTAATTTAAAATTAAAAATCTAATTCTTATCTAAATCCAAACTAAAAAGCAATTTGTTATAATTTAAAATATTTCTAAATATTACACATACTATATAATTCCTGTAATATCAATGAATATCTAATAATATAATATTAAAAGAAAAATTAATTTATAATATTTTTACTCATAATTTGATAAACAAAATCATGTTGCACACTGTTTGTTAGATTACTTACTATTTATGGTTTCTATACTACTTATTATTAAATTAAAATTAATATCTAGTTTAGAAAAGAATATGGGAAAACGTTTATAATTAAAAAATTAGTAGTTGAACATTTATATTTACATTTAATATTTCAGATTTTTGAGTTCTATTAACTTGTGAGATTAAAAATTATGTATTTATGTATTGTACTAAAATTTATCATTTACTATTTCCATTCTATGTTTTCAAAAGCAAATTTAGTAGTAATTATAATCATTTCATTATAAGTTCATTTGTTTTGAAATATAGATATTTGATTAATGGAATTATTTTAGATGATTTACAAAAGGCTGAACAAAAATGTAAATTGTCAGAAGTTACATCTGATTTGCAAACGGATAATCAAGAGGTTGAGATTTCTAAAAGAAAAATAACAGTGCCCCGTCGATTTATATCAAGTGATGAGGAAGAAAATGATAATATTTATATTCGGCCTCCAAAATTAAAAAGGAAATTTTTTAATACAAATAAAAATACTGGAAAGAATATTCCGATTTCTGATCAATGTAAATTATTATAATTTTAGCAGTAATACATATATATAATTTTATATGATATAATATAATATTATAATTTTAATATAATACTATTAATATTTTATTTTTCCATTATTAAAGAAAATTTTCATTAAATAATGCTGAAATTTTTTACTATTTCTACTTATCTACATAATTTTGAATGCATTCTTTATACATAATTAAAATAATAAGTAAATTTAATACTACTTTGCTAATAACATTTATGTATATATAACTTTATAAACATTTGTCTAACATTATAAAATTTTTTTCTGAAACAGATTCATCTGATGTAGATTCGCCGAAAACCCCAGATTCTGTTCCCGATGCAGATTCTGCTAGTAGTAGAACTGAAGTAATAGAACAAACTGTACGTAATATTTCAAAACTTAACTCGTATAATACGATTACAGTAAGATCCGTTCCGGACTATGTAGATAAAAATAGTAGATTTTATACGTACAAAATACCACATACTACATCTACAGATGATAGTTTAACAGAATCAATAGGTATGATATTTTTATATTTTTTATATTTTATATTTTTATATTTCTTATATTTATAGTTTGTTTGCTTAAGGTCTTTTTTTACATTTAGTAATACAAATAAGTGTTTGAAATATTTTAACATTAACAAAATATAAACAAAGAACGAAATGAATGCTTTCTTATTTAAATTATTATTTAATTTATTAAAAAACTTAGAAATATAATTTTTATTACTTATTAATAGATCTTTATACATCTTTCTCTCGCTCCTTCTAGGAGCGAGAGAAAGATGTATAAAGATAACAAAAAAATAAATTTTTTTTAAAAGTTAATACAATACAATAATGTAAATTTTTCTTAAAACGATTTTTTCAGTTTTCCAAGAAAAGGTTATTCAGCTTTTAACTCTCATAAAAACACAAAATTCACAGATGTTAGCCCTTTTGCGGAATAAAGAAGAAATACTGCCCTTACAAAACAATTTTGCTTTTGAATTTCCTATGAAAAGTTTACATGATGTTCATCATGTAGAACAAACACTTACAGATAAAACACAAATAGACATTTTGGTATATAAAATTTTTATTTTTTTACTATATATGTATATATATATATATATATATATATATATATATATATATATACAGGGTGAGGCATTCATAGTGACGCGGGCGTATTTCTCGGAAACAAAGCGAGATATTAAAAAATGTTTCAGACGAAAGTTGTAGGGTTCCAAGGGGGACATAACACCGTGACCTTGGATTATTCTCGGAATGCGATTTTGAGGGTCATTTCGATGTCTACTTGATTTTTTTAAATGGGAGGGTGTACTTTTTCTTCCGGAAATGAAAAGAGCGTTCAATTTTGAGTCTAAAAGTACTAATACACTTATGACCTAAAATTGATAGTTGATGAGATATTTCAAAAATAAGACAACAGATATCCGTTCTCTACATTACCTGGGATCAACGACATAAACAACAATGAAAACAATCTGATGTAAGCAAACGTAGGCTTATTATTCAAAACTTAAATATTTTTATTCCAGTAAATGTTCGAAATGATGACCATTAACTTCGATACATTTTCGAAAACGGTTTTCAAAAGAATGCTGAACTTTTATTAAAGTATCTCATCGATACTCGCACAGGCATTGATAATCCGTTGACGCATATTCTCAGGTGTAGTCGGTGCTTCTTGATAAACCTTATCTTTTATGAATCCCCATAAGAAAAAGTCTGGAGAAGTGAGATCCGGAGAGCGGGCAGGCCAATTAACAGGTCCTCTACGTCCTATCCATCGATCAGGATAATATTTGTCTAATATTTGTCGAGCTGTAGCTGCATAATGAGATGGACAACCATCGTGTTGATACCACATATTCAACCGTTCTGCGATAGGAATGTCTTCTAGCAATTTTGGTAGTTCTTGGTCTAAAAAGTTTCTGTACTTCGGTCCATTGAGCGCACCTTCAATAAAGTACGGTCCAATTATTCGATTTCGGTGAATACCACACCAAACATTCACACTCCATTGCCGTTGATGCTCTACTTCCCGTAACCATCTTGGATTTTCTAATGCCCAGTAATGTATATTGTGTCGATTAACTTGACCATGATTAGTAAACGTCGATTCATCAGAAAATAATATGTTAAAAAAGTTGTTGTCTTGTATTTGCAGTAGAGCCCATTGACAAAATTCGACACGATTTCTAAAATCATCTCCATGAAGCTCTTGGTGCAAACAAATGTGATATGGATGGAATTTGTGGCGCTTCAGTATTCGAAGAACACTTCTTTGAGAGATTCTCAAATCACGTTCAATTTGACGGGAACTTACTTGTGGATTATCGGCCACGACAGCTAATACAGCGATTTCCGAATTTTCTCCAGTAACAGTTCTCATTCGATGTTTTTTTTTCATTGCAACACTCCCCGTTTCTGAAAACAACCTCACAAGTCGTTGAAAACTGCTAGCGGATGGATGCCTTCTTTCAGGATATCGTTCCGCGTATAAGTTGCATGCTATTCTAGCGTTCTTCTGTGCTTCACCATAAATGTAAATCATATCGATCTTTTCAGCAACCGAATATCGGATATCCATGATTTTAAAGTAATCATCAATAAAGTAATAATTGAATGTGAAAATTTCTATTCCGAATCTCACAATCTGATCTGATCTTCTTCTTTCAAACTCTCCTCCGTTGTCAACGCTTTGTTGCCTCGCAACAACCACGACGCAAACCAAACAAAAACAAACTCACGGACGCAAACCAAACAAAAACAAACTCTACCTCGATTCTTTTGAAAAACGTTTTCGAAAATGTATCAAACAAATGAAAACATCAGATTGTTTTCATTGTTGTTTATGTCGTTGATCCCAGGTAATGTAGAGAACGGATATCTGTTGTCTTATTTTTGAAATATCTCATCAACTATCAATTTTAGGTCATAAGTGTATTAGTACTTTTAGACTCAAAATTGAACGCTCTTTTCATTTCCGGAAGAAAAAGTACACCCTCCCATTTAAAAAAATCAAGTAGACATCGAAATGACCCTCAAAATCGCATTCCGAGAATAATCCAAGGTCACGGTGTTATGTCCCCCTTGGAACCCTACAACTTTCGTCTGAAACATTTTTTAATATCTCGCTTTGTTTCCGAGAAATACGCCCGCGTCACTATAAATGCCTCACCCTGTATATATATATATATATAATATTCACACATGCTTTTTAACATTGTAAGAAAATAATATAGCATAAAGGATATGTATGTATATGTATATGTATATGTGTATGTATTCTTTATACTATATTTGTTTCTTATAATATTAAAAAGTGCATGTTGTGAAATCTTATTTTTGCGATGTTTTCAGACTGCTTTTCTATGTACAATTGGTGGACGAGATATCTCTACAAAAATATCAAGAATTTTGAGATACCTTTTTACAGATGCATTAGCATCAGAATTCAGTTTCTATGGGAAAAGGTTAAATAAACGACCCTTTTCAGATTTATGCTTAAAGACTGTAATTGTAGGTGAGTATATTTCACTCATGTGATACTTATATATCATATCAATATATTTTTCTACTTGAAATGTTAATACTCTTCTATAAAATGCTTTTTAATGACATGTATGATCTGTTAATTTTTTCTAGAATCCATCAAACGTACATCTGGAGTGACTAACAAGGAAATAGAGGATGGTATTAAGATTTGGCTAAAGCACGCTCCTGACAGACAGAAAAATCAAATGAAAAGAAAAAAGCAGGATGACGAAAATAATAATAATAGAATAGACAATTTTTATTCTGATAAGGAAAAAAATTAAAAAATGGCTGGAAAAATTGAATATAAAAAAAAGAATATTGTAAGTACTCGCCAATTATATCGACGAAGTGCAGTAGATATACGAAATACTTGGAAGGAGATACAGGAAAAAAAGGTCAGTCAAAATATACCGACAAATAAAAAAAGACATGAACATGACATTGATGATAATATTAATAGAATTCACGATTTAAGTACAAATATTATAGGAATTAAAAAAGCAAAAATCCAAGATAGTTCCGCTATTAATTTTAATCACAACTTAAATGATTTCATTAGTATTAGTGAAACTTATGACTGTGGAAGTCAAGATCTCAGATCTCTAATTTAGATCTCAGTATTAATCAAATATTACACAACTATTATAGTCTATAACAATATAGTCTATAACAAATATATAATAAATCAAATTTTTAGGATTTAATTTTTCCTAGTATCTCTTTAATATTTCCAAGTATATTTTATAAATATTTTTCCTAATTTTTCGTATATCTACTAAAAACAAAATTTTCATTTTATATTACGTTTTTGTAATTATATATTTCAAAGAGATTTCATGTTTATTTTTATTTTATCTGATTAGTCTATAAGATTATATAGTTTAAGATTAGAATTTAAATATTATGTTGTTCAAGCAATAACGCGCATCCTTTCAATAAATATATTTTCTATAATTATTATCTATAAATATATTTTCTATAAATATATTTTCTCTTTATAAATTATGTTCCTATTTTGTATGCTTATGTATTTTATCATAAATATTTTTTTTCTTTATAAATATTGTTATTTTTTTTAAATATTGATATTGTATGTGTGTAAGATATTTATCTAATATAAATAGTCATCAAACCGTTGAATTCGCTTATAATTTTTGTTAAACATTTGCGTACATTATAATTATTATGCATTATATTATTATACATTATAACGTAACATATATGTGATGTTAGTATGATAGAACTAAAAAGAAAAGATTTGTCAATTATCAAAAGTAATAGAATTATTAATTAAAATAAATGATTTTATTTATCTTTTGTATAAATCTTTTTTATTAAAATGAGTTATCTAAAAAACGAAATGTTCTTTTATTAAAAAATATAAAACCTTTACAATGATTAAATAAAACAATAAGTACATGTTGTGTTTTATCTGCAGGAAAAATGTCTTAATAATCTATATAATATCAGTTTTTTGAACATCTTTTTGATAGTTATCATGACCAATGCATGAAATAATTATCATATTAAGAATAAAAATATCCTTCTAACATATTTTATGATAACTATTCATATAGTGATCTTGTTATCTATTAAACTATCAAGAAGATGTCTAAAACTGTTATATATTGTTATATATTGTTAAAAAATATCAAATGGCGTTTTTGAATGTTCGTGTTTGATCGATCCAGAGTAGTTTACTAGATGTCATTGATCAATCACAACCATTCTTCTGAAGAATATATGGTTACATTCTTAATCAATGACGTCTAATAAACTATCCCGGATCGATCAAATCTGACCGTTTAAAAACGCCAAAAATTTTATTAATTAAGTCATATATTGGTCCTATTTTTGCCGTCAATAGGACGTCAGAAAATGACGTCCCATGGATGTGACATATCGACGTCATTTTCGGGTCTTATGAGACCTAATTTAGGACGTCTAATTGGTCATTTTATGACCAAAATTAACCGTCATTATGACGTCATTTTGCTACTTGGGGCGAGAGCCATTTTGTTTTGCAAAAACATGTTCCAACGCGTTAGGATATATAATACAATATTGCTTAAGGAATACCGCTGTTTATATTGTTTATAAATATTTTATCAATCGGGCATGTAATACAATATTGCCGTAAAACATCTAACACGCGCCGCCGCCGAAATCCCCTCCGTCCCGCGTGACGTCATTCCCCCGCGCCGCCGTAATCCCCCGCGCGCCTCACATCCCCTGAGAGAACCTGGGTTAGAACTCCCCCTATATACCTACTGTTCGCCCTCCAGTAGTATCTTTAGTTTTATGCAATACTTTTACAAATACATCTGCATTTAGTTGAATGATTCCGCAGCAGTGTAAGTCAGTTATTTCATTACAAAGTAATTTATTCAATTAATTTTACATATCGAGATTCTTGGTTATTAATAATTATTTATTGTTTATAGTTTTTGGATTTTACCACCAATTATCAATGATACTAAAGAAAATGGTTATGGGAAATTTTGCAACAGAGAAGGTTGATGGAGAGATGATAAAGGCAATCGATTTTATGGTGGAACAGGTATAAATCTTTCCTTTTTTGCAATTGATGAAAACTAAGAGAAACATATACAGAATGTTTTGTTTAAAAAATTATTTTTAATCCTATTTATATCCTATATATATCCTATTTATATCCTATTTATATTTTTAATCCTATTTATATATATTTTTCCCATTTTTAGCTGGAGAGCTTAACGCAACCTGAATTAGCATTTCGTTTAACAATGAATTGCATAAATTGTTATGTACAACCTCAAAAGATATGTCATTTATATAACGATAATAGATGTATTTGATGAATATGCTTTATCAAATGCTGTTAGGGAAGAAATATATAAATGTTATCCGAATGCAAAATTAGCACATTTGAAAAGCAGTGGGAATTTTCCATACTTATTTATAAATATGGAATAAAAAGCATTTATATTTTAATTCTTTTAATGTATTAAAAGAATTTTGTACGATTCAAAATAAATATCTTTAAATGATTACAATTATTATTGTTATTCTATTATTATTATTCATTATAATTAACAATGATAATTATTGTTTTTTATACATAATGATATAATGATCAGATAATATGCATGAAGCTGTATCCATGTAGTTCAATATAATTTTTTGTGAATGCTAGTATTTTAATTTATGAGATGAGATCAAACTTAGCGAGATAAAGATTTATTGTGTATACTGGATATATTAAGTTATATAATGGTATATTATCTTACTACTAAGATAAGATAATATATCTTAGTATATCAGTATCATTATATAACTTAGTATATCCAGTATACACAATAAATCTTTATCTCGCTAAGTTTGATCTCATCTCATAAATTAAAATACTAGCATTCACAAAAAATTATATTGAACTACATGGATACAGCTTCATGCATATTATCTGATCATTATATCATTATGTATAAAAAACAATAATTATCATTGTTAATTATAATGAATAATAATAATAGAATAACAATAATAATTGTAATCATTTAAAGATATTTATTTTGAATTGTACAAAATTCTTTTAATACATTAAACCTCAACATTAATACTGATAATAAGATATTATATCACAGTAATTATATCATTAATGAATAGAAATTATAATGATTATAATCATTATAATTTCTATTCATTGTTAATTATAATGAATAATAATAATAGAATAACAATAATAATTGTAATCATTTAAAGATATTTATTTTGAATCGTACAAAATTCTTTTAATACATTAAACCTCAACATTAATACTGATAATAAGATATTATATATTATATCACAGTAATTATATCATTAATGAATAGAAATTATAATGATTATAATCATTATAATTTCTATTCATTAATGATATAATTACTGTGATATAATATATAATATTTTATTATTAATGATTATTATTATTATTATTATTCTATTATTATTATTATTATAATGTAATAATATATAAGCACAAAATAAGCAGAATATATGAATACAATTTTTTGATTATTAATCATTAAGGACCGATTTTTCCAACTTCTTGGTAAGTTTTACTCGACAGGTAGCATATTTTCGTCTCTTTTCAGATAAGTTCTAAAAAAGAGACGAAGATAGACTATCTATCGGGTAAAATTTACCAAGAAGTTGGAACAACCGGCCCTAATAATAATAAACAGAAATAGTGAAAGTAAACATAGTTTTTAAATGTAATTATGCAAGCAAAAATTATAAGAAATAAACATAAACTTTAAATTTAATCATTATCGTGTAGTCCTCGTTTGGTAGTTTTCTCATTGTGCCACTGTCTGCTAAAATCAATTTAAAAAAATAATGTCATTAATATTGTTGTATTTATAAAATAAAGAATTTTTTAAATATTTTGTAATGAAAATTTTTATTACTTTCTTGGTCTTGCTCGTCTGCCCCAATTATAGTGAGCAGACGATAGTTGGTAGAGGAATCTCATAAATCTCTCCTGCTGCCTGCGTGCTCCTGCTGCTGTTCCTCTTGATTTTCGAACTAAAGATAAGGTATGAAAAGAAAAGATATGAAAAACATAAAAAGTATGAAAATAATAACTAAGATAAATAGATAAACTAAAATATAATTATTACCTCGTTCATTTTCATAATTAGCGAGATCGGGATTATCGAGATCAGCCACAATCATATTAGCGGCAGCATTGTCAGAGTCAGCGATGGGAGCAGCAGCAGATTTTACGCCGGAATTAATGCTGGCGTTGGTACCAGCAGCAACAGGTTTGGCGATAGAATCAACAGCGACGGGTTTGGTAACAGAACCAACGACGACGGGTTTGGCGGTAGAATTCGTAGCTACTCTACGTTCAGCAGCAATGGGTTTGACGACGGAGGCAGCTGCGGCAGAATTAGACGTATGTCTAACAATAGAATTATCTGCGGAAGTGGCGGGACCGGCTATGGAATCCATTTCTTTTCCCAATCCGAACGACAACTCATTCATAAAATCGTCAACTTCTATGATCATCTAAAATTTTAAATTAAATGAATATATTTAAAATCAAATGAATATTATATAAGTTGTGAAATGAATATTATATAAAAAATTATATAAGTTGTTTAATAAATAAGAATATATTAAAGATGATGTCATAATACTTACTTCTTTCTCTGCGGCCATGTTTGATTATCGATTGAATCATCGATTGTTTTGCAAATTTTTATAAATATGTATCTTTTAGCAAAAAAGCTTGTTTTTTATTGGTTGTAATTTATAGGTAGCGCCATATTGCTTTGAGAACAATTTAAACAATTAATGTTATTATTGGTCAATCACAGCTATTCTGAAGAATAGAATGGTTGCAATTGGTGAATGATGTTATTAATTGTTTTTAGATCAAAACTTACTTCAGTCAAGAAATGTTACATGGTTAATGTACTGCACGGAGTTACAATCGTTAGTTACGGTTATAAACGTGCTTCACATACGTGCTTCACGTATATTAATTAACAACGATTCTGAGCAATAGGTAAATAGCATTATATTATGCGCTTGGCAATAAGAATGCCTTAACACACAAATTTATGCACATATCGGAGCATATGTATGTTCTATGTACATATGTGAAAAATATATAAAT